CTGCAGGCTAGCCCTCTGGCCAAGGACTGGCTCTATCTAGTAATGTTTTGTTCTTTGTCCACTGTTGTTGTATTCCCATATTAATCCCATACCATCCATCGCTATGTCTGTCGTTTCATCATTCTCTCCCAAGGGCTCGAGGCTCTGTTCTGCCATTTTTCCTTCCAGTTTCTTGAGCCTACTTTTGAAAAGCATCTTCCCACAGGACCTGCATGTTTAGTTGTTCCAGGGGCTAAGTTGGTCAGCCTGCACCTTAAATTAACTTATTTATCTCTTCTAATTGGAATCCTCTTTCCATCCCTTCACTCCAAGGTTTGCTTGTCTTTCCAATAAGGTACGTTTCTTGAAGACAACCTACAGTTGGGCCTTATTTTGTAGCCAGTCAGGTGTGCTGTTATCTTTTAATCAGAGAACTGAAATCATTAAGAGTCGTCATTGAAAGTTAAGTACCAATTTCTGCCATTTTGCTGTTTTTATGTTGGTTGGTACTTTCCTGACCCTCAGTTATTTATCTATTTCAGTATAATTTATTCTTCCCTGTGGCCTCATGGATGTGTTTATCTTTCTCTCCAGTCTGTAGTGATAGCTTTGTAGACATAGATTCTTTTAGCTTGTGTTTATCACAGAAAGCCTTTCCCCTTTCTTCTATTATTAAGGGTAGCTTTGCTGGATATAGTCATCAAAGCTGGCAGTTATTGCTTTCCTGATCTTGAGTTACATCATTTCATGCCCTCCTGACTTTGAGAGTTTCTTTTGAGAACTCTCTATTATTTTTAAGGATTTGTCTTTGTATGTGACCTGGAGTTTCTCTCCTATAACTTTCCATGTTTTCTTTCTTCTGCATCCTTGGCACTTTAATGATAGCATGATGAGTTGATATTCTTTTCATGCTGTCTGTTTGAAGTTCTAAGATTCTTAGGTCTAGATAACCGTCTCCCCCTAGATCTGAGAAGTCCTCTGCTATGATCTTGTTGAATACATACAACATTCCATAAGAGAGTTGGCCTGGTCCTCCCACCCCAACCCCATAAAGTCAATTACTGTCTGTCCCTCCAACATTCATATTCTTTGTTATGTATATTTATTTATTGTGTACATAGTGTTCTGTCTGCATGTGTCCCTGCAGAGCAGAACAGGGCACGTGATCTCATTACAGATGGTTGTGAGCCATAATGTGGTTGCTGGGAATTGAACTCAGGACCTCTGGAAGATCAGTTAGTGTTCTTAACCATTGAACCATCTCCCCAGCTCTCCCCCACTCCCAGGCCCCACAACATTCATATTCTTCTTCAGCCAAATTGATCTCTATGTCCTGTGTTTTATGTTTTTGCATCTAATTCTCAAATGCATGCACACACACAAACACACATGGGGGGAGATTCATAAAGGGAAAGAGATACAGAAAGAGGGGGAGTGCAATTCTAGTGAATTACTGGTAATCCTCAGTAAACCGGTGTGAGCACTACACATTCTAATAACTGCAGTTATAGTTAGACAGCTTCAGATCTAAAAGTCGATGGAAATAAGTGAGCAGTAGAGTGTAGAGCTCAAAGGCAAAGGCTCTGTAGAAGTCACCCGAGTTTCAGTTCCAGTTCTGTGATTATTAGATACAAAGTAGTGACCTCAGGCAAGTGACTCACCTTCTAAGCCTTGGGCTGTTCATCAGTAAATATACCAGGGATGATCAAGACCCTAGCATATGTGTTTCCTTCCTAGAGGATGGAATGAATAGTTCAGAACTTCAAGAAGAAGCTGACTGGCACAGCCCCCAATCACTGCAAACTGTCTGTAACCATGTTCAAGACAAAGCTCCATCCTTTACCTGAGTCCATTCATTGCATTCTACCTCCCTCTGCTACTCAGCCCCAGATGGCCAAATGCTGTGACTTTGGAATCTTTTGCCTAATGATTCTTCTGCCACTGGCCAATGGACACTAGGACATGGAGTCAGGTTCCCTTTATATGCTCATTTCTAGGTCCTGTCACAGCACCTGGCAGAGAAATGGCTAATGGGCACATAAAGCTCCAAATGAGAAACTTGAGGAGTTCAAGCTAAATGGTAAAGAAAGTTCTTTTCTCCAGTACAAGCTTGCAATTTTGCTGAGGCAGCTACTCCATTCCCATGGGCTTCCTCCAGATAAGACATCACCTTGATAAATTATCTGTGGATATAGGCATCCTGCAGGTGGCATGAAAATGCAATTTAATTTCCAATTAAGCCTGATTTCTGGGCCAAGGGATTTGGATGCCTCACACTGGGAAGATTATTTTGTCCAAACCTATCATTATTATCAGTAATGATTCTGCCACGAAGTGGACTCTGGAAGCAAAAGTCCTTTGATTCTTGAGATGGCTTGACACGATAGCGGTGTGGGTCCTAAGGGCAAGACTGCTCTCCTTCAAGATCTAAGTTTATCTGGGGATTATCAAGAATGTTCAGGTGAAGACAGGCCATTGATATGTACAGACGTTTTTAAGATGAACAGGGAAAGGAAAACAAACATAGCAGTTCTTGGCCATAGTGTCCAGAAGGAAGACGGAATGCTGCTAGTGAGACAGGGTGGCAATAGAGTCCTAAGAGCTCCCAGCGGAAAAGAATCTGGGGGAGGCTGGCTTGCTGGAACATTTCTGGAGCGTCTTCAATGTACCAGGTACTCGGCTGAGTATTTGCACTCAATCATCCTAAGCACCCTATAAAACAAATGAGGTTTCCTTCATTTCCCAATTGAGGAAATTGAGCCTCGGGGAAGTTAAATTAACTGCTCAAGGTCACAGACAATTCTCTTTGAACTCCTGATTTTCTAAATTTTCTTTCCTACCAGCTCTACCACCAAAGACAAACACAAAAATGTAGTCGGGGCCCTTCAAGTAATGTCACAGTGAGCTGGCACTTAGCCCTGAAATTGAAGGATGAGAACAAGTCCTTGAAGAGATGCCCTGAGATAGTGAGAGTAAGTGCAACAGCCTGAGAGTAGGGCACACAAGAGCCGATTTTGGTGATCCAGCATGGCTGCAAGTCTTGGATGGGACCAGGAGCTTCATCGAGGACCCCAACTGTTCAACACTAGTGTTTTTCCTGTGACAGAGTATTCACTTTCAAAGCACTGGGAAAAAATGCAAGCGACTGGAGGACCATGGCCAGTATATTCACAGAAAATTTAGTTGGATGCCGAGAGATGTCTCATGGTCAAATTTTTATTAATGACAAAGATAAATATAAATTATGTATTCGACAACTGGGAAAGTTCTAGAGATGGTTTTTAAGTCGATGGTTTGTGCACACTGACTAAAGAAAGAAAGGGCCACTGAGAAAAGGGTGGGGTCACCGAGGAAGTCAAACTGCCTATCAAACTGTCACCCTACTATTCTGGTTTGTAATAGTGGCCAGTGATGCAAGGACTCAGGAGATTGGAGAATACCTGGGTTTCAAGTGGCCAAATAGGTTTTGGGCCAGAAATTGTGGCTTCTGGCATATAGTAGACAGCCCCAGTTATTCTTGGCAGCACCCACATTTCAAGTGTTCATATTTGGGAAATATCCTCAGTTACTGGCTCTTTAGATAAATAGCATAGAGAAGCTGTGAAAGCCTGGGCTCTGCAGGAGTGCCATGAAGGCAGCTAGCAGCCTTTGCACACTTGATAAAGGGGAAGAGACAGAAGGAGGTTCTCAGTGGTTAGAGCCATAGTAAAGCTATACTGTCTAGTTTTTTATCTCAACTCTTGTACTTGCTAACATCTAGGGCAAGTTAAAACCCGTCCTCATGCCTCAGTTATCACATCTATGAAACGGAGATGCCAATATTAACCTCAAATGATGCTGTTAGTGTTAAATGAGCCATATGTGGAAAGGCTTGGCCCGCATCCCGGCACACAGGTGTTCCACAAATGTTAGTTCTCATTACTATTAGGGATGACAGATTGTCACTTGGGGGAATGGTTAGCTAAATATATCCCAGAATGGAAGGGCTACAGCTTGGTCCAGTGAGATATTCATCAAAAGTGTTGATGTATACTGTCACTAAAGAGAAATGTGGAAATATGAGGGTTTTCTCCCTGGCGATGCTTCTGACAGAAGATGGGAAAGTTATTTCCCCTCTGAAACCAACCAGTTATGACACTGTTGGAGCTCCCTGCAGTGCAATGCAATTTTGATGCTACACAGAGTTAGCAAGAGACTCCATAGGTCACTGATGCATTCACACAGATTGCCCTTCACAGTGTACAGGAGAAGAAGACCTATGATGAGTGTGTTTAGTGAGCCTCTGATTTTATTCCATGTGTGTCATGTCAGGAGTGAGGGTTGTGTGAAGTGACAGGGATTATGGGGAACCAACATCCCTGTCATCCACCTTTCACTGCAGCTTGAGAGAAGGAACAAGCCTGGAGATATATCACACCCTTGAGTCACATTCAGTCTAGAGTTCAGTGCTTCTACATGGGTCCCCTCCCCATCTCCCAACTACCCTTTAGGAAAGCTGGCTGATGGCAATGTACTTTACATCAGTAGGGAGGGAAGGAGAGTTCGGTAACCCAGGAAGACCCTGAGCTTTGCACTGAACTGACATGCAAATAAATGATCCAGGAAGTGCTTGTAGGCAAGGAGATGATCCATCCACTGACCCTTCTGTAGAATCATGAACTGAAACACAGAGGCAATCCAGAGAGCTAAAACCTCCCCTCTATGCAGAAGTAGGAATCTGAAGAACTCAGCAGAGGATGGCTTTATATTTCCGTGTGCATGGTGGGGAGAGACATCATCTTTATCTCTAGCTGCACTAACCCAACCCCCTAAAGCTGTCTGTGCTCAGGACCTATTATGTTTTTGAAAAATACTGAGGATCTAAGGAATGTTGATGTGTATTTGTTATAGCTATTAGTAGTTGCCATTTTACAAATTAAAACTAGGAACTATAAAATATTTCATTTCAATTTATTTTAAAGTAATAGTAAATTATGAATGTTGCAAAAAACATTTTATGAAAAAGAATTTTATCTTACAAATGTTATCAAAAGAAATCCCATTGTTTTACATTTTAAAGATTTATTTTTATTTTTAATTTGTGTGCGTGGGGCATGTGCACATGGCTGCAGGAGCCCCTGGAATTCAGAAGTGTTAGATCCCCCTTGGAGCTGGAGTTACAGGCAGATGTGAGCTGCCTGATGTGGGTGCTGGGAACCAAACCCTGGTTTTCCACAAGGACAACACACACCCTTAACCACTGGGCCATCTGTTGTGCATTTTTTGAAGATATCTTCAATGGCTAGTTAACCAGGCCACTGGACTCTAATTAAAGTTCTATATTTGATCGGCTATGATAGGTATATCTCACTGTCTTGACCTGGAAATTCTGAACACATGTTTTTAGGAGAACAAATAAGAAAAAAATGTAATTACTGCCTCGGTGTCCTTACCAAAGGTTGTGGCCCCGTGCATCTCCAGTCTAAGCACAGCTGCCCTACACTCCAGGGAGGATCTCCAAGCCCTAACCTGCCCTTGCCGCTTCTCTGTCATCTGCTCATGAAGGGACCTCGGCTGGTAAGGAACTGGACAGCTTCACTTGCTCAAATGGCGTCTTCCCAAATATTTCATAGGATTCAAATTCCTCCAAATAGAATGGGAAATAAAAGGGCACTGGACAATCTAACCAACCACCTGTTGTACCAGTAATAACTTTTCACTTGGCTGACCGGGGGGGGTCACAGTAAGAGAAACTTGGGCTGAAACTTGTTGGTTTAGAGGGAAACAAGAATTGTTTCAGAAAACCACAAAAATTGAGATTTCTGTATTACATGATTTTAAATGTACACAATTTAGATTCCTTACAACCCTTAATAATGGTGATGGGTCTGGGGGCAGACACCTCCTTGAAGGCAATCATGTGTCAAACTCATCTCTCTGCCCTACCTGCCTTCCAGCTTTATAGAGAACAGAGGGAGCTTTTCCCTTGGGAACCTTCAAAACTGGAAGAGACCCACATGTTTTAGTGACAACTGTGACTGGAAAACTGAAGCCATCTGAGGCCTGGCACTACTAGGATGTTTCACAAGGATTCTTTCCACTTTAAACCAGAAGCTCAGGGATCCTACTGCTTCTGATGTCCACGAGGTGTCTGCACGTGTGAGTCATGGCTGGTGGTGAGAACAAATCAGGTACAGAAAGTATCTGATACTCATTATCAGTTACTTATTCAAGATGGGTGAGGGTCTCTGCTCTTCTAGGATGTCATTGTTGCCCAGATCATCTTACCTCCCCACATCTGACTCCATCACACTCAAATGCCCAATAATTTCACACTTTCCCTAGCCATGCAGTTCTACAAGCACAGACAGATGTGGCTTTTGATGGAAGCAGGCCAGTCACTGCTGACAGGAGAGCAACATTTTTCCCCAAGAAAATGAAGGCCATCATGACTAATGCATGGGGACATGGGAGTCTGGGCATCCCTACATACTAATTCTTCTGGAAGGATGTATCATTTTCTCCTGCTGGAAACATGCATAGAGTAACACTTTAAAGTCAGACTCCCTGTGGGGACTTTGCTTTCTCTTTTTAAATTGAATTTGAATTTGGGGAATAATCATAGATTCACATGTACTTGTAAGAAGAAATAATACAGAGCGATCCCTCCTACCGGTTCATGACTCTTCCTAGTGGTAGGACCTTGTAAACTATACCATAGTATCAGAATGTCAGCTTTCCTGAAGACTCCTGAGACTTTGCTGACCCGCAGAAGGAGACCTTCTGGGGAGTGATGAGTTACTTGGCCTTGAAAGGAAAGGCTACAGTTAAGAAACTGGAGGGCAACATCAGAAGTCAGGGCAACCTGGGCAGAATTATCAGGTCGGTTGCAAGAATATGATGGCACTGTTCACTTGCTCACCATGTATCCATGTTCTGCAAGCATCCAAAGGGGTGGCAGAGCAACAGGCTACCTCAGGTCTCTCTGCCTGTTCTTGGAAAGCTGGTGGTGCCATTGTGGGAGCCCCATAATAATCCTAATCACCTCCAAATGTTGTTAACATTACCTGTGTTAAATGTCCAACACCTGTGTTTAGAGGGGACATGTAGAAACTATCTGCAGTGAGAGCTGAAAATTCCCATCTTAGTAAGTGCCTTTCTTCTGTCCAAGGAGGCTAACACTGTGTCTTCTCAGCCTGTCTCTGTCGGGAGAAACAGCTCCTCCCAGCCCGCCTTCATCTTCCTGAGGGTGGCCTCTTTCAGCATTCTCCAAAATAACAGCTCTGCATTGCTCTTCCAATTAAAATCAACAAAACAGTAATGATCTTCCTATTATTGAAAAATGAAAATAACAAAAATGGGCAGGGGTAAGGAAGGAAGTTAAAATTAACCACCATGCCACATAAATAAATATTTTAATGTGTGTTTATTTCCTCGAAGACTTTTGTTATTGTGAGAATATGCTTGGACTCTGTATCATCAGGTTCTGCTCCATTGGATTCAATTAGCTGCAGATTGAAAGTATTTGGGGGAAAATTGCATCTATAGTGAACATTGATGGACCCTTCCTCATCGTTATTCCCTAAACGGTAGAGAATAAAAACCATCTACAGCATTGACATTGTGGTAGATGTTATGAGTCATGTGAGGATGTTGTGAGGCACATAGAAAGGTGTGCAGAGGTTTTTCACACACACACACACACACACACACACACACACACAGTATCACTTTATATAAGGGGTTTTTGGCATCTGTGGGCGTCACAGACCTAGTCCTGTGGATACTGAACGACAGCGTTAATTTTAAATTTCAGAATAATATGTGTGTGACTTAATGCCATTAACAAAAACCAATATAATGAATTTCCCTATAAATGAGAGCTATTGTTTTTGTGATAATTTAAAGAAGCCGAATTTGGCCAAGGACAATATCCTGGGTGCGATAGGCAGGCATTTGAGCTAAGAGAGGGAACGTAGGAACAGAGGTGACAATATCCATCATCTGGGGAGTGGACAGTGACATAGTAGTAATAGATGTAAACAATTGAGAACAGGTAGTGGGGCACTGAAACTGGCTGTCCCATTGTCCTCTAAAGGCACCCGGAAGCGATTAAGCTTTCTTGACTAGGAAATGACTTCCCGAAGATGTTGAACAAACAAAAGAGGAAACAAGAGGAAGAGAGTGATGAGCAGCCCTGCCTGCAACCCCTGCTGTCCATGGTGGCTCCCGAGCTGTGATGCAAAGTGGATTGGTCTACCTCTGAGCAGCCAAGATGGATAGGGACCTGTTGAGCTTCACCATGGCGATAATGAGGAGGCCACCAGTCAGAAGGAAGGTGGGCCAGAAGAAGGAAAAGAGGAGGACTTGGGGCCCATAGAGGCGCCGATACACAACGCTGGTCTCGTTGACTTGAGGTGCAGAGAAACAGTAGAAAGCCTGCTGCTCATGGAAATTGGCTCTGACCTTCTTCACATCAGCCAGGGCCATCTGGTAGTTGTCCAGGTTGCTAGGGATATAGGAGCACTGTGGAGGAGAAGCAAGGGCGTTTAGGCTTTCAAATGCTCACATCAAAGAGGCTCAGGGTGATGCTTGGGGTATGAGAAAACAAACAAACAATCACTGACTTGGGAGTCAGCCCCTAGAGAATATGGTTGGTGTCTGCATTTGGATGGTAGCCTCGGAGTCACTCAACATGATGCTGCACACCTAGACACAGGCTCGATTGGAGTTCTGGTTCTACTTGCTTTGAAATCTTAGGCAAATTGCTTGCCCTCTTTGACTTCATTACTGAGATGGGTTAACAGCATCACAGTGATGGGCTACAAAATCATGAGCAATACAAGTTCTGGGACAAAGGGTTTCTATATCTGAGCTCATGCAGGTAACACCAAGGAGTGAGGCTAGATGGTCAGTGTCAAGGCCTGGTGGAAGGGACTGAGCCAGCTACATCCAGAAGGACAGTCATCACTCCTGCAGACAAGAGACACCACACCATCCACCAACACATCCAGAGAAGCCAGAAAATCCGATTTTATTGCAAACTCCCAGGATTTCAAAATCCTGGCTAAAATCCAAATAGAAGACTCTTTGAAGTCTAATCCTGTGTGAACCAAAGAAAATGTGCTGGCAAGCAGGTCTGTGACAGAATCCAAAGGAAAGAGAGAAAGTGCAGAAAGGAGCTCCAGGCAAGCAGAGCACAGCACACAGTTAAGCTCTGGCACTGATAGTTGCTATTAGGAACCTTCTGGCCTGTTGGGATGATGAGACCCAGCTGCAAAGCTCTGTAGAGACAACCCTGAGTGAAGACCTGGCTTTTATCTTTCCATGCAAGCAAGGACTGAGTGTTGTCTGTATGAACCTCAAGAGATACTTTGCAAGGGTGGATCTCTCTATAGACCTGCAGGAGAATACCTCTGGGGTGCCCTTCAACATCAACTCCTACCCTGTGGGGTATGGGAGCAGGGGAAGTAGAGACATTCCAGGACCATGATCTAGTGAAGTCATGTCCAAGGTCAAATATGTAAATCTGAGTTTCAATGGGCAAGTGTTGAACTAGCATCTTCCCTGGGACTCGGGTACCTCCCAAGCTACCTGCTCTGTGGGTACCCAATTCAGCAGTGTGGAGATGCTTTAACATAGTACTAATGTCAGGGAAATGGGAGCTACAGGCACGTGCAAGCCCCCAATGAGCCAGGGAGAGCCGAAGCTCCTGGGGGATATAACCCTCAGTGGTGTTGGGCACTGCGGGGTGTTTGGTATCAAGACTGTCACTGGGTGACCTTGCCCATTGGGCACAGTTTCTTTGTAGAGCAAGATAGGCCCAGGTTCAACCACAGCTTCCAAGCTGTATGACCTTGGCAACTGGTACAACCTCTTAAACCTTGTAAAGTCATTTGTAGTGGTGCCTGCCCAGAACTTCCCTGGGGATTAAATAGGAAACTTATGTAAAGCACTTAGCAAGAGCCCAGATCTCAGAATTTCAGAAAGTGGAAGAATTATTAATAATAATATTGTTGCCTCACTTTTGAAATTAGAGTAACTGCTATATCTGTAGACTGCAGTTCCTCCATATTCTATACTCTTGATCTGTCTGTCAAGACCCTCACCAGGATTCCCTCTCCAGGCCAAGGCAAGGCCTAGGACATTGTACCCCTCTCTGCCTGGCCTGGTACAACCATCCTTGAGTTATCTGCATGAGCTGAAATCATGCAGCCCCTGCCTCTAATCTGAGGCTTCACTGTTGTTACATAGGCTGCAAAGAGCTCCTTCCCCTTAGACTGAGGTTCACGGGAGGAGACAGAGCAGGTGATGGAGGAGGCAGGAGAGGCTGACCTGTCCAGAGGCATGCTATTGACCCGTACCATCAGCCAGTCATGCATCCTGATGGTGGGCCAGAGAATGAAATGCGTGACTGTCCCAGTGTGGCAGGCTGCCCTTTGCTCTCTGTTTGTGGTTTGTGAGTGCTGTGGTTTAACAGCCCCCTCCTTCCCTCACTAGGGAAGAAGTAATACACGCTTTTCACAACAACCAAAGCAGGGTTTGAAGTATCTTCTGGCCCCTCTGGGCTGGCACCTTGTGGTTAAGAGGCAGGCAGCCTTAACCCAGTGTGCCAGGAGAATGGCACCATAGCCACAGTTTCCCTTCTTTGAAAATGTTTTCCTCACTCCTGGGATAAATTGGGGTTGCTGGATGCCAAAGGGGAAATGGGAACCATTGATGGGAACTAAGCCTCGTGTGGCTTGAGGTTCTTGTCCCACACAGTCATGCTCACAATGGCCATGAGTCTGACTTCTACGCACTGCCACCCCTGGCTTCTGTGCCCCCCAAGGCCCACCTCCCAAAACACCACACCGGGCACCTTGCCTTTCCCATCCCATCAGCCTCAATTCTAACTGTTAGTATCATTGCTTGTGACAGGTCCACACACATGTCGTAGGGACTGCTGTGGCCCAGCTTCCATCCAGTAGCTGACCCTACATGGCTGCTGGTTATGTCTTCCCAACATCACTTGAATGGTGATCCTGGGCCTCCAGTAGTTTATAGCAATAATATCCAACCTCAGAATCATCTGGAGAGCTCTACCAACTGATCTATACTCATGGATTCTGCCTCAGTTAAATCTCAATGGTTCTTATACAGAACCAGAGGTAAGATGCCCCAATTATATGCTAATATTAATTACATAGTTACAAAGGAGAGGCTCTCAGGAAACAGACCTTTGGACCCTTTGGCCACTTCTGACCACATGCCCCACTTTACCAGGTGGCATTTCTGGAGTCAATCTTCCAGTCACTGCCTTTGCCTAGCCTTCTCCCCTATGCTTATGCTAGGTCCCACCACTGCTATGCCCCCCTCCTCCCAAGTTTCTGTGGCTACAGGAATTGCCTATTTTGAAAAGCCTGACCCATCACTTCTCTGCTCCAGGTCTCATTGTCAGCTGGAAAATATCACCCGCTTCCTTGAGTCCCTTTTCTCTCTGCAGCTCTCTGTGGCATCACACCCCTCAACTACATAAACTCCCTCCTGTATAGGCTCTCTCCTCTTGAGACCCATGAGCCTGATATGGGAAGGTACGGTGGTTGTTGAATGAATAGGGGAAGTGAAGGAAAGGAAGGGAGCAAAGGGGACCAATTTGTCTGTGTAATAGGGAGGACTATGGTGGTGATTGGCAGGGGGTGTGCAGTTTGTTATGGAGGTTGCTATAGCCCTGACTCCCAGGTGCCCCATGGATTCACCCAGCTCCACTGTTGGGATCCATTGTTGGAAGAAGTAACTACCAATGACTTCTTCTGCTCTTTGAGGGCCCACCATTTGCCAACATGGGGCTTTGCACATTTGGACACAGCACTGGGCTTTAATATAGCACTTCTAGGCAGGGCATTAGCACCCATTTACAATGGTGCAAACTGAGACTCATGGGGCCTCAGTGGCCTTCCCCAGTTACACAGTTAATGAGGGGCAAATTCAAACTTCCCCCAGCTGTCTTATTTCAACACTGAAGGTCCAAGGCTGACTCCACCTCATGCCAGCCATAAGACCCCATTCAGGTGGGTTAATATATCTTGGCTTTAGAAACAAGGGCAGCTGAGAACACGCTCACAGGCCTGTCAGGGATAATATACCCAACCCCTATTCGTTACCTGCTGGTTTTGGTCCCGAGTGTCCTCTGTGTGATACAGCATGGCCCATCTGCCCATAGCTGAAACATTGACCCAAAGGCATGGGTACTGGGGCACCTTCTTGCCCTCCACCTCATCATGGTCCTTGATGTTGGTTTCAATCAGGTGACAGGTGGATTCCAGAGTCCACACACTGGAAAGACAACACACACACACACACACACACACACACACACCTCAGAACAAGGGTGACACACACCCACTTGGAATCCCTGTTCCCAGAGGGTCTTTGAAGTGGCCAGGACTGGCACCTTCATTCTGCCATGAGCACGTAACACTGACTAGGTCCACAGCCCCAGAGTCCTGGTCTTTGGGGTAAATCACAAGTTCAGACTGGTTGACTCTTGGATATTTTCTCCAACCTTGTTACCCGCTCTACTCCTGAGAACTTTTTAAAAGATCCCATGGCTGAGCCCCATTCTAGAGAATTTCTTGGATGCTTGGGCCCAGGCTGTGGTCTTTAAAATACTCATCACAGTCAAGCCATATCATCTTATCCATATCATCTCCACGTCGAGGGTATAGATGAAAACCTCAGATGGGTTACATGACCTTTTGTAACCCATCAGGCAAGGCCTGAGTAGCTCCAGAATCTCTGCCCTTTCCCCTAAAAAATTGAGGCACTATAAGAGGGGCCTGATACAGTGAGGGTAGCACTCGGCGGTAGCAGGGCCTCATTTGGGTGGCACTCTGGCTGGCAAGACTACAGCACTGTAAAGCATGCATGCAGAGCAGACCCAGGAGAGGTCGATAGGCTCACCAACTGCTAAGCAAACGGATTGTGACTTAGCTGCCGATACCCTGCGGAAGACCCACTGTCAGATAGGAGAGGGATGTCAGGAGCCAGAACATGCCTGGAGGCCTTCCTCAGCAAAGGGTGGGCTGAGAGAGTCCTGTAGGTCTGTTCCACAGAAAACAGCAATCAAGAACTCCACAGCATTTCTTTAAAAGCTGGAGGGATGGCATGCCAGGGAGGGAGGCACACTCTCCAAGATTCCTGCCTAGAGTCTGGGGAAACAGATGCCAGCTCAGTACAGATTCCCTACTTATCGGGAAACCCCAGGCAAGGAGAAGTGTGTACAGCACAGAGGGAACTCCCATCTCAGAGACATCGTGCAGACTGCTGCCAGTCTGCCATTCCAATTCTCCCCCAAGGAACACACCCTTAATGGAGGACTATTTCTTGTGGCAAGGGCATCCTGCACCTGTCATCACCAGGTCCCAGGCCAGCAAGGCTCTTACTAGTCAGCTTCTCCAGCACTGGAACCCCTAAGCTTAAGGATAATGGATGCCCAGTCTGCCCAACCTGCTGTGAGGGGTTAAGGGTAGGACAGACAGAAGGGTGGGGGTCCTAGGCCTGTGGGGAGATCCAGGCAGTGGGAAAGTTAATACCTTTTCAGGTAGAGGGGCAGCACAGTGGTACCCAGGATGTAGTAGGTAATGGCGGCACACACTACCATTGCCACCCCCAGGCAGAGGGCTCGAGTCTCTCCACGCTTCTGGGCCATCACCAGCTTCTTCCCCATGGCCACTGGGGACAGCAGTCATTCCTAGCACCATGGAGGCAAAGAGAAATGAGATCCACCCAGCTTATAAATAGTCCATAGAAGGGAGGGCAGGTGAGAGGACATGTGTTCAAATACCAACATCACTCTTACTCTGCATGGGGCTTTGCAAGTTCCACAGGGCTGTGACCTCATGGGGGCCCCACCCCTATAAGACCTTCTGGTAACAGCCTATGATTAGTTTCTCAATACTCAGAATCCATTATCACCAGTTATCTCTCTGAGAAGCTGGGCACACTTGTCGGAGATTCGTTTGTGGTACCAGCTTCTTCCAATGAGCCCTCCTAGGTGGCTGGGCATTCCCAAGACTGATGACAGTAGGAGCCGGTGATGGCTAGAGCGCGGGAGCTCAGAAGGACAGGAAAGGGGAGCATCTGTTCCAGAGAGGTTCAGCTTCTGTGACTGTCCCAATCCCACCAGCCTGCAATGTCCTGATGGAGTGAGTTCTAAAAGAAACATCAACTTCTGTGCTCAATCGTAAATTCTGCTTTAATGTAAGATTAGGTGGGAATCTGGGATTCAGTGGGCTTAATTTGGGTCTCCAGCAGGAAGACGAATTCGAACCCTTAATATCCCCTGTAGTCTAGACAGGGAGAAATGGGTTTCTGTGAGAAACAGAGATTTCAGTTAGGCTATGGGGAGACTATCCTGGTTGTGAGATGTTAAGTGTCTCAGGACCCATTGTCTGGAACTTTCTGTGTAGAAAAATCATTCTAGGTCTGTATAGGATGTAGAAAAGGTGGAAAATGGTTAAAGAAGAGTCTTGTGTGGCTTAACCATTGGAGTGACAGACTCTTCCTTAGAAGGACCGAGAATAGAGTGTCTAGGGATTTGAGGGAGTCTAGAAAAGAGAGGGTCTGAGGTCATCAGACATGAAATCAAGTCCTGGCTTTGATGCTTAGCAACCAAAGTAACTGTAAACACAAGAAAGATGGTACCTGCCTCAGAGTCCCAGTGCATACCTACCAACACTGTTGAGTGTCACAAACTTGCTACAATAGAAGCCTCCATAAACAGTAGCTATCACTAACTGGAGAATCAAAAAAGCAGGGGGCACTTTGCCAGGCCTTTCTATTGTTGTCCCTCTACTGATGACAAGTGACAAGACTGGTCCTGATCTCCAGGCTGGCCACTAAAGTGACTCCCAGACTCAAGTCAACATGCCAGGCCCTCTGGTGCCAGAAATCTGATGGGCAGCAGGGGAGGTGGGGATTTCCACCAACCTATCCCTACCCCTGCAGGCTGCCATCTCCCACCATCACTCCCCAGCCCCAGCTTCCCAGAAGCCCTTCCCAAGCTCTCTGGGATGGAGTACTCACAGTTCACTGGGTCTCTGCTGGCAGATGGTTTCTCTCCACCCGGCCCCCCCACCCCCACCCCAAGTCAGGCTTTAACAGGAAGTTTGGTCTCCCGGTTGGTCTCCAGGGAAGCAGTCTTCAGTCCTGTCTGGGTCGAGCCTCCATGCCCAAACATGGTCAGGTCTGAGCACACAGCTTGCCTCGGGACAAAAACTCCACAAGCAGGTACACAGCCCTGAAGCCCTCAGCTGCTGTTGGGGACTCTGCCCCTGCATTTCCCAGAGTCTCCTGGGAAACAGATGTCAAACAGCGAAACCCAGTACCCCCCCTCACCAAGACTATCCACATATATATACAGAAATGTTTTTTCTTCACTCCATCTCTCGGACTGCCAAAGAAGCCAGGAATAGGAAATGATCTTCCTCATGTAGTACAGGGGAGGGAGGTATAGGGGTTGGGCTTGTCACTAACCCTAGTATATCCAACCCAGAGCAGCCAAAACCTCTCTGCCTCTGTCACTGACATCCTGTGTGACTCCAAACAAGTCCTGGCACCTCTCTGGGCCTCTGTTTTCTCTCTTCTGTCATTAGCATTTTGAAAAATTCACTTTGTTCAGGATTGTGGTGAAGTTAGAGATAGTGGAGTCCAGAGACAGGAGGACACTCCACCTTTTAAGGACTACTAGCATTGAAGCTGGGAATGGTGGGCGCTCTCAAGCTACTTCCAGCCAGCCCTCCAGGTCCAGAGACAGTGCCTGTCAGGGATCTTCTACAGACTGACTTTGTCTTATAGGCAGGCAGTTGTTGCAACCAAAAAGACAACTGATCTCTGATATTGGGGGCAAACCTGCTTCTGACTCCAAGTCCTGGTGAATAAAGAGTAGAGTTGAGAATTGAGAGCTGGGCAGTAGTGGTACACATCTTTAATCTCAGCATCCAGGAGGCAGAGGCAGGTGGATCTCTGTGAGTTTGAGGCCAGAACTAATTCCATAATAGCCAAGACTACACAAAGAAACTTTGCCTTGAAAAATTTAGAGGAAAAAAAGGAGAGTTGAAAAGCAAGAAACACACACACACACACACACACACACACACACACACTGCAGCCCTGATAGGCATCTGCGTGGGACTGAGACCTGCTGACTTAATACCTAGTCCAGAGTTTCTCTACTTGATGGGCAGAGCCAAATTAGAAGCTTGCCCTCCCAGTGGCAAATACTAGCCATCCCTGCCCACCAAGGGTCTGCTCCAAAACCTCATATCATTCCTGTGATATGGTGCTAGCACCTGAAGCTCTAGAGGTCACCTCTGGTATCCTCAGTCCCAGGGTAGTATGTGCAGCTTAGACATCCTGCCCAGAGAGAGCTTCTACATCTCACAGAAGCTTGCCACTGAGAAGGACAGCTGTCACTCAGGGCTCCTTGATACTCTGGTGGTAAGCACCATCCTACCCCCCCCCTTTTTTTTTTTGGTTTTTAAGAGACAGGGTTTCTCTGTATTGTTTTGGAGGCTGTCGGTCCAGCCCGGCCTTGAACTTACAGAGATCCGCCTGCCTCTGCCTCCCAAATGCTGGGATTAAAGGCATGCACCACCACCGCCCGGCTCCTACCCCCTTTCTTAATGACTCTAACAAGAGAGTCAATCGTCTGTTTCATGGGATGCATGGCAAATGGAGATTTATTAGTGTGTATGGGCATGCATGTGTGTGGTGTCTGTATGGTTTATGCATATGTATGTGTATATAGATATGTGTGGTGTGTGTTATGTGTATATGATATATTTTTACATGTGTGAATGCATGGAGACTGGAGGAGGGGCATTGGGTGTTCTGCTCTATCACGCTCCACTGTATAAAGGATCTTTTATTGAACATAGAGTTGGAAGGTAGAGTTTAGTGAGAGGTTAGTTCAATTCTTCAGTATCCATGTAAAAAGCTGGGCATAGCTGGGTGCATACCTGCAAACCTAGCACGGTGAGCAGCAGGGACACAAGATTGCTGGAAAATGCTGCTCATCCTCCCAGCTGCCGGTGGAAAAAGGATCAAGCCGGTAGGAATCAAAACCTGAGAAGACTGTACTGAGCTGCAATGCAGAGCTCATAAACACCACATCTACCCACACATGCACTCACACTGCTGCACAACTGGAACCAAAGGACAGCCAGGAGAGAGTGTTTATATTTATTGACCATCTACAATGCACCATGATGAGGGCCATCAGTCAGCTTTTCATGGCGGATAAGGTCAGAAAATGTTTAATAGAATGTTCCAGAAATAAACAAATAATTGGTTTAAAATAACTTTGATTGTGATATACTGTTTTATTTCTAGTAGTTATTATCTCTTACTGTGTCTAATATACAAATTTAACTTTGTCATAGGTGTGCATCATAGAGAAACCCATTCTACAGGGGATTTGGTGGTCTCTATGGTTTCAGGTATCCAAGAAAAGTCTTGTAAAGTACGCAAGTACACATCGATGCACCTCAACAATCCCCACAAAGGCACATGTTTTCTGTCAATACAGAAAACCAGTGGTTTTCCCAGGGCCATGCCCCAGAGTGGGATGTAATGAGCCCTGGATCTGAATCTGTACCCACCAACTCCACAGCCCCTGTATCACCCATGACTCCCATGGGAGCAGTTGCCAAGAGGATCAGTATGTCTCTATGGCAGTGGTTCTCAACCTTCCTAGTGCTGTTATACTTTAATACAGCTCCTCATGTTGTGGTGACCACCCTCACCATAAAATTATGCCCATTGCTACTTAACGAATGACTGTAATTTTGCTACTGTTACGAATGGTAAAGCAAATATCTGCTAAGCAGAATAGCTGATATTTCGAACCCTGTGAAAGGGTCATTGGACTCCACCAAGGGGGTCCCAGTGCACAAGCTGAGAACCACTGCTCTCTGGTGTCTATTGCAGCTGGCATACAGCACCCCCCTTCATTCCCCTGCATCCCTTTCCCAATTTGGCATCTGCTTATTTATGTAAATGTCTTTGAATCAGCATCTAGTTCCCACCAACCTCCGTGAATGAGTCCCATAAACCAGCCCTGTCTGGAGCCTCTGCCCAGTGTGCATCATTTTCTGAGTGTGGCAGGGAGAGTGAGCTAGTGGTCCCAGGACAGAAAGCTCAATGCCCTCTATGCCTAGGCTCTGAATACATCGTGCTGAGGCAATATAACCAGCCTCATCCTTTATAGGAGGTCAGATTGTTAAAACCACAAAAAAAAGAAAAAAAAAAGGAATATGATGTACTTGAAAGAGAGCCCAATGGTTTCCCCTTAGCCATGGTTTTGATCTTGGCAGCTTCGTTTCCCCATCGTCAACAGCAGTCTGAGACTATAACATGGAAAATTCCAGAGATAAATAATTCATAAGTTTTAAATTACTTTCATTGCCTTACATCATCATAATTGTTCTATCTTATTGTTAGTTATGGTTAAGTTCTTCTGTACCTAATTTACAAATTAAACTTTATCATAGTTGTGTGTATATGGAAAATATTATAGTATGTATAGCATTTGGTACTGTTGGACATTGCAGATGTCCATTGGGGTCTTGCAATTCATTCTCCACAAATAAGGGCAACTACTGCAAAAAACAAACTCACAGGAAATAACTAGGGGAGAATGTTTGTAGCACTGGAAAGACAAAATACTGAAGCAGCAAAATTAAATGTTAGTATGAGAATAAACATAACAAAAAGGCATGGCAAACAGCCTGGTGTGGTCACTCCCTAAGATGAGGAACCTCTTTTTTTCTAGCTCGTTTAAACACATATCCCTCTGCTCATTTCCTTCCTTTATGATCAGGTGTTTTAGCCTGCGGTGCTATTAACACAATATTGTTCAACGCCTTGAATGCCCTCTTTGGAACAGACAGAGCATAGCCAAAGTTTAGGTAGGCTACCTGTGTGGCAATGGCTGCTCCCTGTTACAAATCCCCCATCTTTGCGGGAAAGTTGGGCAACAAAGAGTGTGTGGAAAAGACTAGATATGATGGCAGCCTCTATGTGGCGTATGTCCATCCATAGTTGTATGAAGGACTCACATGCCCTCTCCTCCCACGGCACAGGCTTTGCTTGACTTCCTTCTTTGAGTAGTGCCACACTGACCAGTACACATGATCCATCACCATGTCTCCACCAGGCACAAGCTTGCTAAGACCAGAGACTGCCATCTTTCTCACTCTGTATCAGATCTTGAGCTCCTAGAAAAATATGCCAAGATCCCTGGAGCTTTGAGTGATGGTGGTCATTTGATTGAACAAAATCCTCTTGTTTCATGTCATAGAATGTTGTCATCATTTTTCTGTGTATACCAAAAACATCTTCTTAAGAAGGTTGCGCAGTTTCCATGATGTGACTGGCCCAGGATAGGCATCATCCACACTGTGTTGATGGCTGTTTAAGGACCGTAGGAGTTGACCCCAGGAAGGTTTTGGGAGATTACAGTCCACTACAGTGGAGCAGGTGTGGCATCAGGAGTACCAGGCAGCTGGTCACATCGTGTCCTCAGTCAAGAACTGGAGAGACATGAATGTTTGTGCTCAGTTTACCTCTGTTTTATTCAGACTGAGACCCTAGGCTGTGGGATGGTGCTACATATATTAAGGGTGGGTAGATTAATCATACTGGGAACAATGGTGTCTTCTTTCTTGATAGTGTCTAATGAAACCCTATACATCCAAGCCATACTCAGACATATATGTCATTTCTCATGAATTTATGAAGCCAGTACAGTGGTATCTTAGCCCATTTTTTATGTTCTAACATAAAGATGGGGTACATATCTCTGAAGGCTGGAAGCCTAAGACTGGGTGGCCCCATCTATCAGTCGCTGGTGAGGGTCTTCTTGTCTGCATTATAACATGGTGAATAGCATCACAGACAGCAACAGTGAGAAAGAGGGGGAGAGAGATCACATGGATAGACAGGAAGTCAGAGAAGGTCTAGGGCTAGGCTTACTTTTTTATCTACAGTGGCCTGCCCTTGTGAGGGCTGTCTGAGATTTGCAGAGAAAAGCATTGGTCTCTTTCCACAGTGCGGCCCTAGTAACTTACTAACC